TGGTTTCACTCCAAACCAACCATAGTGTCAAGCCAAGGTTTGTTTGAGTTAAACAAACCATGCTTCCTAGTTTGGACGTACAGCAAAATTAGAAATGATAGTTTGTTGCTCATGCTGGGTGTGTGTGTGTGGCAAAACAGAAGCAATCTCTGCATTCATGGTCTGCAGTTAAGTACATTTTACCTTAATAGGTGTGATATTAACGTGCTAACCGTTTAAGCCAGAATGGTGGTCTTTTAGCCACTTTTGAACAAGTAACTTGTGGTGAGAGGGTTTGGACTATTGATGAGTAACTAACTGATTGTTTAACTATCAATCAATTTTTATTGTATACAGTACTGTATAGCCAAAGGCCTTTACAATGGACGACAGAGAATAAAAGGAATCTTTCGTCTAAAATCATACACGTAACCTGTAGCAGTTTACAATATAAAAAGAAATTTACAACATTAAGACTTAAGATTGGGGTGCATTTACATAGCTGGAAGGAAGCTTCTTGGCTGCCAGTGCAAATTTGGCTACTTGGTGTGATTGATCAACTAAATGATGTTTGAGCTTTTCTTCTTCACCTTTCTTTGTCTCTTAAAGCAACTCCTCTTTTTTTAGCCTTCTCTCTTCAACTTCTTTCAAATCACTCCTAAAAACCCACCTTTTCCCATGGAGCCTTTGAGTTAACTCCCAAGCTCCCATGCCCACTCTAGCTAAGCTCAAGTGTAAACAATTGCATTTTCTTTCCCTGATTACTTTTGCCTCCACTTCCTTCTCTTTTCTCTGATGTTTTTCCTGGCTCAAATTTTAGAGTGTAAGCTCTTCTGGGTGGGAACCTTTCCTCTTGTGCTCAGGAAAGTGCCATATATGCTGATGGTGTGCTCTGTCTACCATGTGCAATTTACTGCATTCTTTGAATTTTGTGTTTGTATTAAGCTATGTGAGCCACCTTGCTTGGAAAATGATGTACAATTTATACACCACCCTTTGTCCAAGAAAGGTGGCTCACATAACTTTGGAGTTGAAGCTGTGCACAGAGGTTTCTGATACAACCCTGCATCTGCTCCCAGTGCAGATCAGAGATATTTTACCAGTTGGATTTCTGTCAACCTTTCTAAAACTGATGGTCAGTGAGAAGGCAGTTCTCCACCAGACTCCCAACTCAGTGTCTGCCTCGGGGAGTGTAGTCTGTCTTGGAAAAGCTGGTGGCTAGAAAGTGAGCTGTGTGCCATGCCAGCTGCTCTGAAGCCAGAGCTCAGCTTGAGAGAGTTGTATTGCTTCCCAGCTTGATGGGGAGCCTAGTTGCACTGCATCCCAACTGAGCATCTGCTTTGGGAATGTTGCGGCGTGTGCGGGTGTGTGTGTGTGTGTGTGTGTGTGTGAGAGAGAGAGAGAGAGAGAAACTGTATTAAAAATACATTTTTTAAAAATAGAAAAATAGTTGAGATGCTCGTGCAGATGTTATTAATCTGCATGCATCTTAATAAAAGGATGTGTGCACTCATGTTTCCTAAAACTAATGTGGCCAAGTGACCAAGCTTGCACAACATATTGTTTTTTGCTTGCTATGCCACTTTCAGAGCCTTAGGGAAAAGTTGACGTAAACCTATTTATTTCCCTCTAAACTGGTTTCTAGTTCTAAAACCTATGGAGTTTATCAACTGGTCCAATGAAAACAATATGGTGCAAGATTAATTTTTATACAAAATAGTAAAGTTACCAGTAAAAAATTAACTTGCCTTTTGTTTGTATTTCTCTTTTTGGAAACATTTCACTCCATATTGATATTGGCCCAAAATAAGATGTTTTGAATATTAATTAACTAAGATGTAGAAATCTGATTTCAAAATGGGATCAAAGCTTAACTAACCATTAACTTCAGTTCTTGTAGGGTATATTTTCTAATGCAGAGAAAACCCTTGGGAAAGCTTAGATGGTACAGCATGAGGCTCTTGTTTTCAGGGTTTTGGGTTTGGGCTCCACATTGGGCAAGGTTTCTGCATAGCAGGGGCTTGTACTAGATGAGCCTTTGTGTCCCTTCCAACTCTATAATTCTGTGATTCTGTGTTTCCTTTAAATATCTAAAATTAATTGACAGTAACAAACATAGTGCCTAGGACTTGCCGATCACATGGTCGGCGGTTTGAATCCCTGCGGCGGGGTGCGCTCCCGTCGTTCGGTCCCAGCGCCTGCCCAACCTAGCAGTTCGAAAGCACCCCCGGGTGCAAGTAGATAAATAGGGACCGCTTACCAGCGGGAAGGTAAACGGCGTTCCGTGTGCTGCGCTGGCTCGCCAGATGCAGCTTCGTCACGCTGGCCACGTGACCCGGAAGTGTCTGCAGACAGCGCTGGCTCCCGGCCTATAGAGTGAGATGAGCTCACAACCCTAGAGTCGGACACGACTGGCCCGTACGGGCAGGGGTACCTTTACCTTTACCTTTAACAAACATATATGAAATGTAAATTTTCCTTTGTTTAGATAATTGCTGAGGCTAGTTTTAGCAGGTTTCCTTCATATGCTCTTTGTCTTGAGTTTAATATTGATATCCTGTAATTTTTATTGGAGGACATCTGCGACACCATGTTAACTTTACTTCTAGTTTTTTATTATGTTTTGAGTTTTGTGGTTTGCTTTAATATTGTATTGGTGTTTGAATTTTTAAAATGTGCACCACCCTAGAATTCATGTTTGTTTGTTTTTTTTTAAAATATTTTTTTATTGAGTTTCTTTTCTTAGGGTCATAGACACAAGATCGAAGCAAGAAAATACTAGAAACAAAAACAAAGAAAAATGATAAAAAGATTATTACAATCCAACTTTCAACAGTTTTTCCAATATTCCAAATGGACTTCCCCACATCCTCACAACTCTGCGTTCTTTGCAATAAAAGTTTCAGCAATTTGTTACCTTGTTTCTTAACTTACTGTATCTTTAAGCTATTATGTTTCTAATTTCACAATATTATATCCCAACTTTATACATTTAAAGTTAACATAATAAAATTGTTTCATATTTACCACCTCTTTTTTCTTGTCTTAATTTTCAACCACCCTAGAATCCATGTTTGGACACAGGTTTAGACATTTACAAAATTGAAAAAAACTTTCAAATACGGAGGAAGGGGTTGGATTTAATTTTTAACCACCATTAGTCCATCTTAAATTTGCTATAATTAAGATAAGTGTATTGTAATTTCAGTAAATATGAAGTAACTTGTTCATAGTGAAAGTAGGATAGATTATTGAACCGTATGATAATCCCAGGGGCTTGGATCCAAACCTCACTATTTACACGAGTGGAAAGGGATTATTTGCACATAGTGGGGGGCCTGTGGTGACACTTGCTTGTGTCTTATGGAATGCCTTTCCTGGAGGAGGACCTGAAGCAATATCTTGCACATGTGGAAGCAACTTTGTGCAAATCTGTAAACAATATAATGTTCATAAGTTGTTCACATTAGTTGCAAATACTTGGTGAGTCTTATGGTCACTTAAAAATATAAATGAAAAGTGTTTAATCCAGCGCTAATATATTTTGAGTTGTTATAAGGCATATGTTGATCTAAGCTGTGTAGTGAGTTACAAGTCATCTGTGGTGTCATTGTTTTCTTCTAGCTATTCCTGTTCTCTCATCCATAAAATCAGCATAAAATTGACTTAACGTTGTTGGGTGTCTAAAAATCAGTCTTCCCAGGAAAAGTAAATTTTGTCTCAGTAGTTCTGAAGAGGAAGTACATAACTGCAGAATAGGATTATGCTTCCTCCTCCTTGTCAAGATGTAGCCTCTTGCTTCTTGTCAACACCCTCCTTCCGTTCACTTAATCAATTTCCCAGTACACAAAGAATTCTGAACAAAAGTTTTCATACCTGTCAACTCAGGGGGTAGGAGACTCACATTCAGGATTGTGGTGCTGGGTACACCAAAATATCCATCTCTTTTTTGTGATGGAAAAGTCCCCTTCTCCTTACTGTACCTTAAATGAAAATGATGGGAGCACTTCAGAAAGGAAGTGTGAAAATTAATTGATCCTTTGAATATTTGTTAGTGGCCAGTAAGACCTTTGAAGGGATGCAAAGTCAATGTCATAATACCAAGTAACATGACAATATTTACTAGTTTTTATTTTGTGGAATGGATTAGAGCAAATGTGGACAGATTTCAAGCTTGTGGGATCTATTGTGTTTTATATATTCATATGGCAATTAACTGCTGCAGGTGTGTTTTATTACTACCTAATAACATACCATAATTGCATATAACAAAGACTGAAGTAGTAGCAAATTTCAAAACAATAGTATCAGACAGAATTATTTAAGTGCTGTGCAGACTGAAGCTTTATTTACTTGACAACTTTTTTATCACACGGAACATCCCTCAGAATGAAGTATTTGGGGGTTCTGCCAGATAGGAGTTCCAGGTACACATCCTACATGGGGTTAGGATTGAAAGAAAAACTTTAAAAAATGCCTCCCTTAAGCTATCAAATTCATTTCTTTAGCCAGTGCTAGTTTGCATAAAACCAAATGATTTTTGGATGTAGCAGGTCCGAAACTTCAACTGGTGAATGTGTAGTATTCTGTGATATTCTAAACCTGTAATTTTAAATTGTAAATGTGGAAAGAAGCTTGGTGAACTGCTTTAAAAAACAGTGATATTTGTGACATTTGAAAAACATTTTGCATTTTTTCTACTTTTAATTCCCTTTTGCAAAAATGAATATTGGAATAACATCTTTAAAAAGGCATTAAAACAACCACAGAGTAAAAGGCAATGGAAAACACACACACCACAAAATAACCTTCTATTATTGTGTTAACAAATATATATGGAGTTTCATAAATATGAAATTAAAAAAAATATTGTGAATAATCCCGTATCTGAGTTTTGAGACACATTTTTTGTACCTGTCTGTGAGCCTGAAGCTACGTTGACCCTCTTTAATATTAATGTACTCTACTCTAAGACTCTGTTCTTTTGTCTCTGATTAATGCTGTCTGTCAATTATTTACAGATCCTGTGGTTTTGTGGAAGTTCCCGGAGGACTTTGGAGACAAGGTTAGAAACATGAGATTGATCCCTTTAAAATGATGGAATAATAATAACAATAACAATAATAATAATAATATCAGAATAACCTGCCTTTCTACAGCTTTTTAAAGCTTTCCTATTCAACTGTAGAAAGGCAGATGGCTGATGATAACAATAAAAGACTCTTCACCAGCTGATTTGATCATTAGAATGTGTTTGTGGCAGGAAGTATTGCATACTATGATAGTTGCTTTCATGGATTTATCACATTATTATTTTTAATCTGTGTGGATATTATGACCAAACGCCAGTGGTGGCATTTCTTCTTCTTCTGAAGTCATGAATATAGTTCCAGAGGAATAAATTTGGGAAATTATGATTGACACACAGCACTGAAATCGCCACCAGGCGCACATCACCAATGATAATCTAAGAGGTTGCACAACTGTTAGTATCAGCACTGATGTTAACACGTTGGTTGTGTATATACAGTTGGTGGTAGTTCAGTATTCATGAAAATGTTCTCTCTTTCACCAGAGCTACTTTGACACTTGGGCATGTTAGCAATTTTAAACAGGAGCGTAATGCTTGCAACAAACAAGTGGTTGTCTAAAACAGTGGTTTCATTAAAAACAAGAACCAAGTCCTCTAAAAATTATGGGGTGTTTTTTTTGATAGGCTTCTTCATTGAATTCATTTCGCTCTTTTCATTTTGATTTTATTGAACAGTATACTTTCTTTTTTCTGTGGCTCAGACAGATTTCTCAGTTTTGCTTTAAATAGTGCCAGATCCTTGGAGAAAAACACCATAAACAACAGTTTGAATTCTGTTTTGAATATAGGAACCTATATAAAAAGTATGTTGCCACAGCAGTTTGCAGTTTGGCCCTGAAATTCCGAACAAAATTGTCAGTTGTGCATGTGTGAAACTCATTCAGATCAATGATACTTCTTTATGACAACACAGAGAACCCCAGTTTATGTGTGTTGTTACTTGGCAACACGTTGCTCACACATTAATATGAAGTTGCAATCTATTCCAGTAGTCAAGAGCTTTAGCTGGACTGCAAATACCATTTGAATGAATGAGACTTTTTGCCTGGGAGCAGCTGTGTTTTCGATTTCACTCTGTCTCTCTTATTCAAATGTTACTATCAAAGGTGCATTTGAGGTTGATTGTATTCAAAGCTTGTGTCCATGCAAAAAGCAAGTTTTATTAAGTCTGTCAGTTGCAAATGTTAGTATTTTTGTATGTGTGTGTTCTGTTAAATCCAGCTACAAATGTATAGAGTTGAATGGCATAGGAAAGGGTCAATGGCAAGGGGAACTGTCCTTGCGATTGGGCTAAATGCCATAGTAGCAGCTTTGTATGTGGGAGGTGTAAACTTGTGTCTCTTTTCAGCCGTAAATCTTACTGGCTAAATTATTAGAAGGCAACCTAATGAACATTATGGTGCTGTTGGGTAAACCAAGGTAAAGGCACATAAGTATTGTGTTCTGTTCCTTTGAGTAGAATAGGTGAGAAATCTAAACAAATGTGAAAAAGCATTACCTTGATTAACTAGAGAAATGGGCTAAAGTTAGTAGCTTGCCACATAAAGATGTTCCTGAGAAAAAGATGCAGAATATGATGCTCTGGTTAAGCATTAACCAAGATAACTGTCAATGGCTTAGTTCGTTTGTCACTTTAAACCATGGTTAAACTTTAAAGGTGAATTTACATCATACTGGTGCTGAAATTTTGAGTGTTTCACTCTTCCCCTGCTGCTGCTACAAGTTAAGTTCTGTTCTAGTTTAGAGTTACATCCCAAACTGTGTTTATGGTTTGTTTCTCCCCAAACAAACTGTAAGCTCTTTGACATCAACAAGTACACTGGACGCTCAGGTTGCAAACATGAGCCGTGTGGGATGCACGTTCGCAATAAGCAGCGTTCGCAACCTGCGTCTGCGCAGGTTGCGATTAGGCGCTTCTGCGCATGCGCGACTGCCAAAACCCGGAAGTAACCCATTCCAGTACTTCCAGGTTTCGGCAGTTTGCAACCCGAGAAAATGCAACCTGAAGCGGTTGTAACCCGAGGTATGACTGCATAGTTAAAAGAAAATGTGTACAACAAACCATGAGCCTAGCTTTGAATGTCACTCTTAAGATGATGCCTTAGCTTGTGGCAGCCTGGCATCAGCAAGAGCTGAGCAGGTTCCCCATTAAACCAAAGTTTGGCTTGATGAAGGTTTGGCATACAAATGAGACCAAAGTATAAGTAAACTTTATGCCGCTTCTTTTAATTATACTTGCTGAAATCAAAGACTTCCAGACCCCTCCGAAGACAAGTGGACCACAATGGCAACTCGTGTTTTAAGGTAGAATGATGCCTTACCTGTCAAACAGAATAAAGAAAGACTGTTACTGTCTCTCATTCCAGCTTTGGTTTTGTGTGTGTTTGTTTGTATTTTGGCTTACTATGGAACTTAAAAATAAATAGGGACAATTAAGAAGTTCAGAATTTTTCAAAGTATTAGCCCGTATAATTATATTTTGAAATATGTGTTTAGTAATTCTGAAGACACCAGTTTTTGTACTGAATATCTATAACCAAACTGGTGATCTTTGGGATATCTGCAACATACACCGAAGAGCGCAATTAAGCTATTTTTGCCTTATCCTTTGAAAAGAATACATATAGACAATCCTGCATGCACGAAATCTTCAATATAATTATTTGTGTGCACAGACACACTCACTTTTCCTTTCAACATTTGACATGACACTAGAACCATAAAGAGATATGCCTGGACAGCACTAGCACCTTCTTAACCACAATTTCACTGTTTAGTTCACTACTGAACATACTGGATTCTAAAATTTCTCTGTAGGAGCAGCCTCTTTCTTTCCTCCCCAGCTTGGTTTTTTTAATAAAAGATTTGCTCTTACAGATCTGCAGCAGCAGTTGCTTTTTCTGGGTTGGTACTTTAAAGCTTGCCAGAAGACACAGCACAGTCACCACCTCCCTCCCTCGCTCCCTCCCCTCTTCCTCTCCTGTGTGGAGGAAGAGAACTATAGGCATATTGAATCATTGTCTTGCAAGGCTCTGCATGTTTTCTTAGTGCTTTCAGGTACCTGTATGTACAAGGCTGTTCCCTAGTGCTGATTCTGCATCATTTTGTTTCCACCCCTCTATTTGCTCTTGCTCCTTGTTGCCTGAACTGATGTTGTCCGACAAGCGAAGGCAGAACTTGGTTTGGCAATTGAAGAGCCAAGTAGCACCTTTAGTAGGATGGCATTTGGCTCAGAGTTGTCAGCTCCTATTTTGTAATTGCTGTTTTAAGACACAATAGGATAAATGAAGACAACAATATTGCAGACTGTCCTGGAATCAGTATGAAGGGTGGCTCAGAACAACTAGGAAAAAATAGGTTTCACTTATCATAAATAAGATGGCCATTCAGGGTCAAAGGAGATGAGAACTGGAGTGATTTTATTTTGGGCCTAGGGTCAAGTCCAGTAACAGGGCCAAATTGTCTCCTGCTTCCCTTTGCCTTCCTCGTCAAGTTCTAGACATTCACTGTTCTGGTTTGCCCTAAACTTTCATTATCTGCCAGATGAAAACTGGTCAGATTAGGGTGGCATTGTACACTACACTGAAGTGGGGAGAGAGAAAGTGCAAGTGAATTATGTCTCCTTAAATACAGTGGTACCTCGGGATGCAAACGGGATCCTTTCCGGAGCCCCGCTCGCATCCTGAATGGAACGCAAGACGTGACAGCGCATCTGCGCGTGTGCGGGTCACGTTTTGGCGCTTCTCCGCATGCACGTGGTGTCATTTCGACAGTCCGCGCATGCTCACGTGGCGAAACCGGAAGTAACACGCTCCGTTACTTCCGGGTCGCCGCGGAGCGCAACTCGAATTTGCCTAACCCGAAGCATATTCATCCCGAGGTATGACTGTAATTCTTCCAGTGTAATGTATGAAAAAGATTGGCCTGAAGTTGTGCGTTCTTTTAGGTGGGCTTATTCTTTTGAGGCCAACCGGAATAGACATAAAGCTGAGGGTGAATGAGCCTACATAGGAACATAGGTGCTTTACTGAGTTTGACCAATGACCCATCTAGCTCATATGCTGACTGGCAGTGACTTTCCAGAGTTTCAGAGAGGAAGTTTCTCCCAGTCTTACCTGGAGATGTCAGGGATTGGACCTGGGACCTTCTCATGCAAAGCAAGATGTTCCGTCACTCAGCTGCAGACCTTCATTCTAGGAATGTGGAAGTCTGCATGTCTTGAGACTGCAGACCATTCAAACATACGAGCACCCTTGAAGGCCCAAGTCAGCTTGTCCCAACCTGATGTCCCAAGCCTCAGATTGATTTGGCAGATTGTTTATGATGTCTACACTGGACTTCAGCCTTTGCTGTGGCAGAGCTGCCTCACCCTTAGCTGGAGTGAGGTGACAGCAGATGTTGGTACAGGTAGCAGTGGCAGATCCCTAGCCAATGCTCTCAAGCCCATCGGCCACTCTCCTAGGTTGGAGGACAGAGCTGTGTATGCCACATGACCTGTCCTGCAACCCCCAAGCTAGTCTGTTTCCTTCAGGTATAAGCCACTGTCCCATTGCCAGTGTTGAAGTAAGATTCAATTGCCTTTCCAGTTGGCTTCAGTGCATGGCATGAGGGGTGGGGGGTGGCATTTTGTCCTTTGCCTCAGGCCCCAAAATTTCTTGGTCCAGCCACATGTGTATAAAGGAATAAAGAATGAAAGAGGTGGGAGTGAAGGAGAAATGTTGTTGCTTCCTGAAAACTGTGGTAATTGGAAAATGGGTTCTTTTCCCAGGGCATAACTCTAAACAATGCAGCTTTCCTGGCTAAAACAGGACCACTGGAGGCTATAATATGCACATAGAGCTATGATATGCACACAGAACTACACATTATGTTTTGTGATTTCGTCTAGGGACTGATATGGATTCCTGGATCTTTTCCATTGCTGGGATATAAGCAGTTTTAGAGGGTGATTTTCAGTGGGAAATGGTGCAAGG